TATTGCAAAAAAATTGTTAACAGAATTTTTAAAAATAACAAAAGAAATCTCTACTAACTTAGAAGCAAGTCCAACAACCTTCTGGCATGTTTCTTTCTATTCTTTTAATCATTTTGTACTTTCATAACTGAGCTTTTTATTGTCCATGTAGCTTTGTAGCCTGCTGTTTGGCTTAACATTAAGACATACACATTTGTTAGTGTCATTGCATTTTTTAACATTTTTATTCATTTATTTTGGCTGTGCTGGGGCTTCCTTGCTGCACAAGCTTCCTCTAGTTGTGGCGAGCGGGGGCTGCTCTCGAGCTGCGGTGTGCGGGCTTCTCACTGCGGTGGCTTCCCTTGCCGTAGGGCACAGGCTCAGTGGGGCACATGGGCTCAGCTGCTCCGTGGCACTTTAGATCTTCCCGGGTCAGGGATTGAACCCGGGTCTCCTGCATTGGCAGGCAGATTTCTTTACCACTGAGCCACCAGGGAAGCTCCAGCATCATTGCATTCTTATGGCTATGTAATCATCTTTAGTATAGCTGCACCACAATTTCAAGGTAGTTTCAGGTAGTTTCTGATCATATACAATTACAAAAACACAGTGGAAAATGGCTCGTGCATGTATCTTTTCCCTTCTTTTGGATGATTTACTAAAGGAGGAGTTGGTGAATGGAAGGGTATACCTATTTGTTTTAAAGCTTCTGATATTCACTGCTATACTGATTTCCAGAAAGGCTGTTATCAAGTTACACCTGAGGGGAAGTGAGGGAGGCCTATTAGAACTATTGGATCTGTAGAAAATATCTGATAGCAATTTTTCTTCTTTTTTAAAAAAATAATGCTTTTTTATTTGGACACACAGAAGAGAAATGACTATGCGTTTTTTATGTGTGTGTGTGTGTGCTCAATCTTGTCTGTCTCTTTGCGACCCCACGGACTGTAGCCCGCCAGACTCCTCTGTTCATGGAATCTTCCAGGCAGGAATACTGGTGTGGGTTGCCATTTCCTTCTCCAGATCTTCCCAACCCAGGGATCGAATCTGTGTCTCTTGTGTTTCCTGCATTGGCAGGTGGATTCTTTACCACTGAGCCACCTGAGAATTGTTATGTACTAATCATTAGTTGCTCTGTTTCATCGTGGTAACATAGGGCTAACTCAATACTAGCTAAGTATTAGCCTTAGCCTATGCGGTAGCCAATACAAGTGATACAGAGTAGGGAGAATGGCAGATGCACTTGTGCAGGGAAACTCTCCTTTTAATGGAGGTCTGATGTTTACTGGATATTGAGAGAATGGGGTGATGAGGAAAGGAAGGAACAGAAGAGGCATTCTGGGAACGGGTGAGTGAGAAGGAGGTGGCTCTTTCCCCCAGAAGAGGGGGAATTGCAGCAATAGCAGAGCAGCTCCCAGGCAGGCAGTCAGCTCTTCCCTGGAAGGAATGAAGCAGAGCTGGTAGGAGGACGGGTCAGGAGCAAACCCTTTGGCAACCCGGGTGATGCTGATGTCCACTGGGTCAACCAGAAATTTCAGGTAGATTTCTGTAAAATGGTGGTCAGGAATAGAAATAGTACAGGCCAGGCCCTCTTCTCCATGAATTTGTTTATCTGAAAATAAAGACAATCCTTGAACACCATGTTTCTAAACCATCACAGAAAGATTATAGAGCAGTTACTTGATCTGATTGAATAGTTGTACAGATGGAAGAAGACAGGATGTCTGGAAGCCAGGAGGGCTGGAAGGATGCTTGGATAGATGGATAGACACACTCACTAGCCATTTTAACAATCAGCAACATTCATTCAAAAAATATTTATTGAATATCAGGTCTATGCCAATCACTTCACTAAGTATTCTCACCTTATAACTGCTGTTCTGACTCTTCAAGTTTCCATAATATTTTTTTTCTCCTAGAAAATAGATCCACATTTTCAGAAAGGGGGAAGACTGAGGAGAGGAGACTGCTTTATCTGTGTTTCCTTTTCTCTCTCTGGCAGAAATTTTAGGCAGAGATATTATCCCTTATGCAGTTTCAAAAGCAAATGTCACTCCCTCACTGTAAAACTTTAAGTGACTCTCTCTGCCTGTCCTGTGTAATTAAGTCCAGATTACATGACCTAGTCCTTTACTTTCTTTCCACAGGCTGATATGCCATGGTTTTGCCTTCTACTCTTTTTTGTTTGGTGTGTGTGTGAAAATTTTTATTGTGGTAAAATAGAATATATATAACAAAAGTGTCCGTTTAAACAATTTAGAATTGTTTAAATTTAAAGATGTGCAGTTTAGGCATTAATTGCATTCACAGCATTGTCCATCTCTCACCACTATTAATTAGTAAAACTTTTTCCATCACTCCAGAAGGAAATTATATAACCCTCTTAAGCTATAAGTTCCCATTCCTGCAGCCCCTGACAACCAATAATAATCTTCTTTCTAGTTTTATGAATTTGCCTAGATATTTCACTTAAGTAAAATAAGGATAAGCATTATTTTCAATAAGCATTATAGACATTTCATGTAAGTGAAATCTTGGAATATTCGTCTTTTTGTCTCTGGCTTATTTCACTTAGTATAATGTTTTTGAGAGTCCCCATGTTGTAGTATGTGTCAGAACTTCAGTTCATTTTATGGCTGAATAATACCCCGTTAGTTGTATATACTACATTTTGTTGGTGTGTTTGTTGGTGGACACTGGATTGTTTTCACCTTTGGGCTGTTGTGGATAATGCTACATTTTGATGGACATGTGTGCTGGCGTGTCATTCAGTCTCTGTTTTCAATTCTTCTGTGTATATACCCGGAAGCACAAGTGCTGGGTCATATGGTTGACAGCAATTCTGACAGAGTACTATGTGCCCAGTGAAAAGCCAACCCCCCCCCCCACAAAGGGGCTATCTTAAAGTATTAAAATTCTTACATTCGATTTTCCAAACCATACAGTATCTGGGTCATTAGGAGAAATAAGAGGAGAAAAATTGAGAAGTTGAGTTAGAAATCATACATAAAGTGGCATGTCAGAAACAATTCGAAAAACAAAGCTTACCTATACAACTAAAGGACTCAAATATTTTAAGTAGTGATTCAGAATATTAATTTTGATCATAAAGTATCAGGTTTATTTATTTAATTGTGTATGGTTTCATGCTATTTAATGGGAGACATCATAATGATGGTGTTTTTCAAACTGTGGGACCCAATCCATTAGTGAGTTATCAAATAAATTAGTTTGCTATGATTAGCATTTTAAAAAAATAAAATAGAAGTGAATAGAAAATATAAAAGTGCATTGCACCTAGTTAAGGGTAAATGTTATTTTGTAAAACTTTTGTTTCAGTTACCTGTGTGTTCTGTAAAATATTTCTTAATGTGGGATGTGATCAGAAAAAAATAGTTTGAAGACACTGGTCTAGTGGAAAGTCTGAGCTTTGGAATTAGCGAAAACTTGGTTTGATTCTGGGCTCTGGGTGACTTCAGCCAGTGACACAACTTCTCTTGTGGCTCAGTCCCCTCATCATAGAAGGAGAATAATATCTACTTCTGTTTTGTGTTTGTGGAAAGATTAGAGATTACTTAAGTAGAATGCACAAAATATAGCCACTGATTAACAAACATATAATTACTTCCAAATCTTCCCTCAAATAATGCTATGCAAAAATGCTTCATGCATTTGAAGGAAGACAGTATGTGTTATTGATGACTGGATCTGTTATGCCACAGTCTACTCTGAAAACATATCGGCTCAGTCTGTTTCTCCAATTTTACTTAGGGAGGAGGCTTGAATACACAGTTCTTTTCCCTTCCTATTCTCTGATTGTACTTGTCTATACCATGGATTTGGGGCACTTTACTATGTATCTGCCATAGATATTCTAATTATTTTTCATAGTTCAACTAGTATCACAGACTTTCAGATCTCTTCTAGTGCTGAAAACAGTGCTGGATGAAAATGTATTGAGTTTTTAAAGGTCCATAGCACATCTTTGGCAAAGTATCTCTTACACAAGGGGAGCAGAAGAAATCCTGATTCCACCAGTATTTCTCAATCTACTCCATGCTAAACAGTTCAGTTAGGCACTATCATGTCTCTGGGTAGTACAAGTGGAAGGTGCGAACAGAGAAAGCACTTTATCTGAGGACAGTCGAAAATTAGATCCTGTGTTCCCCTCCCCACTCCTATTCCCATGGGGAGGAGGCATTCATAAGCCCCGAGGACCGGGGCCCAGAAACCTGCTGGCGTCCTGAGCTCCAGAGGCTTGCCAGCACGCACGCTCTCCCGCACTGAGAGCCCTTCTTCCCAGATGAATTCTCATAGTATCACAGACGCGCGCAGCCTCGATCGATACTGGATGGCAGACGTGCTCCCACCGTCAAGTGTAGGCACAGGGCGGTGGAGTCAGCCGCCCTGCCGCTCTGTCGCAGCTTCTCATCAGCTCGATACCAGCAGAGGACGTTAACCCGTTCGCCGGCTGACACCCACCCCGTCGCCTCCCCGGCACCTGCGGCCCGGCGCCCTTCTTCTCAGCTCTGCTCCCGCAAAGTGGGGTGGGGGGGGGGTGGCTTTCCATCAGCCTCCCCCACGCGGGGGCAGCGGAGTCCCGCCTGCAAGGAGGGCGCTGTGAGGTGGCCTCTCCGCCCGGCACCCCAGACGGCCCCTGGAGGCCTCTGAGGCAGGGAGCGCTGAGCTTCCTCACACTCCGCACTTTACCTTCTAGCGTCTTCACCCGGTGGGCGGCAGGGAGGAGGCGCAGCTAAGCCGGACCCGCGCCACCTCCCGCCTGGAGGACCCGCGCGAGCCCAATCCTATGAAAGCCCCGCCCCCGCGCCCTTTCCCACTCCTGATTGGCTGGTCCAGCCCGAAGGCGACCCGGCGGCCCCCCCCCCCCGGCTCGCGTCGCAGCTATAAAGGCGGCGGACGCATGACGGCCACGGCGAAGCTCTGGCAGCTGCAGTGCTCGCCCTCTCACAGACCCCGCGGCGCCCCTGTCACTCTTTGCCCCTGAGCGCTCCGACTCCATCATGCCTAGGGGCTTCCTGGTAAAGAGAACTAAACGGACGGGCGGCTCTTACCGAGTGCGCCTAGCCGAGCGGGTCTTCCCGCTTCTGGAACCCCCCGGGGTGCCGCCCTTTCCCGAGGAGGCTTCCAGTGCCCCTCAGCCAGGTGTGGAGCGGGAGGCACCCCCAACTCTGGAGGAGGAGGCGGCCCGTGAATTGTCAGGGTCGTCCTGTCGGGCGGCTAGGGTGAGCCCAGCGGCGGGCGGGCGGGAAGGTGTGGAGTGGCGGGCGGATGGTAGGGAGGGTCCGGGGCCCAGCCCCAGCCCCACGAAGCCGGCAGGCGTGGAACTGCGTCGGGCGTTCCTGGAGCGCTGCCTCAGCTCACCCGTCTCTGCTGAGTCCTTCCCCGGGGGCGGTGCCGCCGTGGCCTCTTTCTCCTGCTCCGTGGCACCAGCAGCTGCACCGACCTCAGGGGAGCAGTTCCTGCTGCCGCTCCGGGCACCATTCCCGGAGCCCGCGCTCCATCCGGACCCCGCGCCCCTTAAGCGGGCCACCGGCGGCGAGCGCCGCGCCAAGGCTCCTTCGGGCTGCGCATCTGGGCCCGCGGCCGCCGGAGTCAAGAAGCCAAAGGCCATGAGGAAGTTGAGCTTCGCCGATGAAGTCACCACGTCCCCTGTTCTGGGCCTGAAGATCAAGGAGGAGGAGCCCGGGGCGCCGTCCCGGGGCCCCGGGGGCAGCCGCACGCCGCTGGGGGAGTTCATCTGCCAGCTATGCAAGGAGCAGTACGCAGACCCCTTCGCGCTGGCTCAGCACCGCTGCTCCCGCATCGTGCGCGTCGAGTACCGCTGTCCCGAGTGCGACAAGGTCTTCAGCTGCCCTGCGAACCTCGCCTCCCATCGTCGCTGGCACAAACCGCGTCCCGCAGCGGCCAATGCAGCCACGATCTCCTCGGCCGACGGGAAGCTGCCCCCATCGTCGTCCTCCCCGGATTCCAGGACTGTCGCATGTTTCCTGGCCGAGGGGAAGGAGAACAGCCGGGCGGAGCGAACTGCAGATCAGCACCCGCGGGCCAGGGACAGCTCCGGGGAGGAGCAGCACCAGGACAGCGCCCCGCAGCCCGGCCTCCAGGTGCTGTCCCACCCCGAGCCTCCGCTCCCTTATACCGTGGGGCTGTTGGGGCGCCGGGTGCCTGAGCCCAGCAGTGCTAGTGGTGTCGGGGGACCCGAGATCTTCGTGTGCCCATATTGCCACAAAAAGTTCCGTCGCCAAGCCTATCTGCGCAAGCACCTGGGCACTCACGAGGCGGGCTCGGCCCGCGCGCTCGGGGCCGGCTTTGGCTCGGAACGCGGCGGCCCCCTGGCCTTCGCTTGCCCGCTGTGCGGGGCACACTTCCCGTCGGCAGACATCAGGGACAAACACCGGCTGTGGCATGCGGTCCGCGACGAGCTGCTCCTTCCCGCTCTGGCCGGGGCGCCTCCCGATGCACCGAACCCAGGCGGGGCATCCGACGGGAGTGCTCAGCAGATTTTCTCGTGCAAGCACTGCCCGTCCACTTTTTTTAGCTCCCCGGGGCTGACCCGACACATCAATAAGTGCCACCCCTCAGAAAGTCGGCAGGTACTGCTGCTGCAGATGCCGCTGCGGCCGGGCTGTTGAGGGCTGAGACGAGGAAGATTGTAAGGTGGGCCGCGGAGGAAACGATCCTGGGGATTTCTGTGGGGTTTTCTTCAACTTGCGAGTTTACCCTCTTTCCTTATTTTCTCACCTGAAACTCTCAATAGTGTCAATGTTCCGCCCGAGGAGCAGACAGAGAAATGTAAAATCTCTCTCTAGAGCAGGTATGTATATGGTATAAGCGTTCCCGGTCAAGAATTGTCAGCTTTAAATCTTCCTCACAAGATAGGATTCTCCCCGCCCCCACCAAACTCTGGAGACCCCAACGAATCCTATATGACTTGTAATTCCTATGGAAAGTCGCAGTGAGTGCGTGCATGTCTCTCTACAAAGGATTCTAGCTACCAAAAGTGGAGGTCCTTTTTTTTTTCTCTAGCCATTGCAAGCGCCTCTGTAGTTTCTGTCTCAATAGGGTCAGATGTCTTGCACTGTATATTCTGTGAATTAAAAGTTATGTGATTGGTGCCAAACTTACATTGGGTGGGTGGGAAATACAAGACCAGTGTCTGTGGGCAGGAAATGTAAGATGTTTGCGAACTTTTGAGTGATGTGGAGATCTCCTTGTAAACTTTCCTTTTCTCAATGCTTAGTCCACTCTGAAGCTAGTGTCTGGAGGTGGGGAATAACACCTCTTACTGAAAGGAGTTGAGGCCCCTCCCAGATTCTCACCTCTAGCCCTTTTGTGTGCAGTATTCAGGAACCTTTAATATAAGCTTTTGGGAAATACAGAACTCATTTCTTAAAGTTTCAGTTTTAGTAGGATTTCATCCAACTTGTTTGAATGCTTCTGTTGTAAATCTTATAATGTGTATTATATATAACAATATGTTCAGCTTAAGGAAGATGTTAATACTTATAACCCACTATGAAAATGAATAGCAATTCATTCAATATTTCAACAGCAACCTGGCTTTGAATTTCTTTTTGTAAACCATATTTAGCATGCGTTCTGTACCTGTGCCCTAATAGCCAGAGTTTGGAACACTGGCTGAGTACTGCTGGACAGGTAGCCCATATTTGTAAGATGCTTACCACCAAATAAATGTACATAGCTGGTGCTTTGTTGTGTTCTGTGTTTGTCTATAAAGAATCCCATTGAACACAGCCTGTTTCTAAATGCCACACTTCTCATCTCCCCAAAGCCAGTAATCTTGGTGACCCACTTAGTCGGAATACAAAGAGAAATTATATTTTGTAAATGATTATAATGGTGCATAAATGGGAGATTTTCCTTGGAAGTATGGCTGCATAGACTGAACTCCAAAAAGCAAGGGATATACTATTCTTCAAATATTACAGATACTTTACCACCCAAAAATGTCAACAGAAAATATTTTAAATATTTTCTTCTTTTTCAAAGTTAGTGAATAGTTTATTTGAAGATGAGTAAAATGTTAACTGTGCTAATTAACTTCAGTATTTTTACGTTAGTATTTTCAATTTGTTACATATTATCAAACCATTAACTTGTTCATTTCTTTTTTAAAGGAAAAGCACTATAGAAATTTGTAAGTAGGTTATTTTATCTTTTTTGCAGTTCTTCACTTTGGTTGTGGGAAACTGTCTATATTGTTTACTCTTGTTCCCAGGGCTCTCTCTATCCATGTTTATCCTTTATATAAGCTTTAACGGGAATTTTAGTTTGTTTTCTACATAGTTTCATAGGAATTTGTTTTTATTTATAAGGAAATCAAAATTTTAAGTGCACAGGAACTCTGAAAGCTTCCTTTACAAACTGTAAAAAGTTTTGTTCCTGAATATGTATTATCAAAAAAAGTAAAATTTAAGTAATCAAAGAAGCATGAGGGTGAGATAAACAGATGCTTTAACCAAGTGCATTGGAGGAAGTTTCTGGCGAAAGGCTATGAAAGTGAAAATTGTATTTTTAGTAACTGTGGTTAGGATCTCTGAGAAATAAATTGGGGTGTATCCAAAGAAGAGAATTAAAATTCATTTTTCATGATTAGCTAAGATAAACCTAGGTTTATGCTTTATGGCCCTACTTATTAAGTCTGAAAAAATATAAAAGACCACTCATGAACACAAAATGATAAGAATATTTTTATTGTATTATTAAATACCATCTTTTTTCCACTGTTACAAATTTGTAGATACTACATGAATGATGATACATAATTTATATTTTATAGTTTGCCGATATGATGTATTTACACATGCAGTTAGTACCAATGTCATGCTACATTTCTTTAGGAGATGCTCGTTCAAAAAAAAATGTGAGCAAAATGTGAGCAGCTTATCTACTGTAGGAAAGTATTTCTGGAGGGTGGAATGTATACCAACCTGCACCTGCATGTTCAATATTAACAATATAGATTAATTTAGACTCCTGGGTCATGTTCCCTTTTCTTTTAAAATAATACACATAATTTAAGCCACACACTTAGAAAAGTTTTCTTTTTTTTTTTTTTCCTACCCACCCCACCTCATTCTTCCCTTTTTGGTACTTAAGAAAGAACATAGATATACCAGGGTCCAGCAGCCAATAATAAGGGGCCATAATCTCAAAACAGAAGTGGCATTTAACAGTGATACCATTTAAAAAGCAAAATATTAGAAAAATATCTGGAAGCTAAACATGAATCAGAGTTCAGCACAGTGATTTTTCTGGTTATTAGATATGTCATGGCATCACCTGCTGCACAGCCAAGAAATGAGACTGCTTTGGGAAGAAAAAGGTAATGCTAAAATTATTTCAGCTGGAACTTGAGATGCTAAAAGACCATTTAAGTGGTTTATTTTGATAACATAAATAATCCATACACATCAAGTGTATTAACAGATCTGCAACTTTTGCCACAACTTTACAAATGTTTAGAGATGTACATTTATTAAAAAATTATATATTTACTGAGCCATAAAGTTGTAATGGGGCACGATAAAATCATGAGGCTATCTGTCCAATTATATTTTGGCTCAAAATTAATTATGAAATTGAAAGTAAAACTACTTAGACATAATTATTGAGGGAAGGTAAAGGGTGTAGAATAAAGCTTCACCCATTCCTCCCTCATATGGCAGCTTGGAGTGTGGGGGGAAAAACCAACGGAATAAACAACCCAAATCTAAAACACTAAGTTACAAATTATTGAAATCCAGTGTTTTCTAAAATAAATGTTCAGGAAGGAACATGCATATTACGGCAAACACAAAGCCTGGAAGGGTTAACGCCATGTTCATGCTAAGGTGGCTACTGGTGGCCACTGCCAGGCTGCTGTCTCCTTAGGACTTATTGGCGGAGCCAGAGGAGCGACGCAGCTTCATGGACATGCGGCTTTTGCTCGTTCGAGGAGACATTGGAGAGGCCAGGTCGGCCCCGTCTACCTGTGCCGCTGTGGGAGTTTCACTGGGTAGGATCTCTGGGTAGGAGCCTGTGGGAAACAACAAGCGCATTAGTGCAAATCCTCTGGCTCTCCTACAAGAGTAACTTCTCTGCTAGAGATCCAAAGACCTTAGTGAGGTCTTTTGAGAGGAAAAAGCAAGCCCCAGATTTGCTTGTTACAACAGTCTACTAGTATTTTATTTAAAACCCAGTGATCTGGTGGGCTCATGTCATTATAGTAGCCAGAAAGCACCAATTATTATTTCCAGAACCAGAACCAACCAGAGGGCTCCCCAGAAGAAGCAATGGGAAGCAAGATCTTTGGGACAGAAAGGACAGGGATCCAAAGCACCATCAGCATGCATGTGAGGGCTTAAGAAGCAGGTGAGAAGGACCAATTCCTATCTCTCGGGTACAGAATATAATCAACAAAAGGGCCTTCACTGCTGAAACTGGAAAATAAAACAGCACCAAACGTTCCCAAAAGGAACTTAGTAGTATGAGACAATTAAACATGCTAGGAAGTTAAATTTAAATATGTTTTAGGAAGGAACAAGATAAATTCCAGGGGGAGAGGAGGGTGAGGACAAGATCTCTCATCTGAAAGTCAGTTCAAAAAGAAAAAGCTGCTCTCTCAAAATGTCTCAATTTAGAAGAGAGAAGTAATGCTCTTGTTTTCTTAAACTTCTGTAGTTACCAGTAGAGTCAGTAGATTTAAATATTTAAAAGAAGAAAAATTGGAAAATTCTTCGTATCACGTACAAAGCAGTTCTTCACCCTTGATGTTATTTCTATGAATTGCGATTCTCTAATTTACAGCAGTGGTACAGAACTTTGCATACTATAGGCACTCAAATATTTCATTAAAAATTAAAACCCCTGAAAAAACAAAAAAATCTGCAAAGAACAAAATTTTAAAAATTCTGTATATTTTTAGGCACTTTAATCCAGGCTTCCTTTATGTACATAAAAACCGTGTGTGTCACAAACAAAGGTGCATGACACAAGCTGCAGGCTTCAGCTGACCCAGCTCCTTACTCTGCAGGAAACTCCGGCACATCTGTTAGCCACTGGAGCGCCTCGCTGACACTCTGAGTTTGGGAATACTGATACACTACTTCCACATAATGAGACACTAGTGCCTAAGTTTAAGTTATGAATATTTATAAGGAAACAAAACTGTTCAATAAGGGGTACAGATCCTACTGAGATATTTTAGAAAATTAAGAATGTATCTCTGTAGAACACTTTGAAGTGTTTTCAAGGTCAAATAGTATACTCAAGAACAAGTATACATTGTCAAGGAAAAACAAGTATATTGTCAAGGAAAAAATATTTTATCACTAATCCTAATTCTAATCCTAATCCTAAAGTAACTTCTCCAACATTCTTTCTTTTCTAACTGAAATGAGGCTGGCCTTCAAAATACAAGGAAGACATGTACTTCTGTTCGCCCTTACTCTTCCCAAAGATCTGAACTGGTTCATGCTGGACCCATACTGGAAATCTTTAGAGAATATGAATCCACGGCCCTTTTTAGGGGAGCACTGCAGATGGGTGGCAGAAGGAAGGTGAAGAGCAGTAGCTCATGCTTTTCGGGTAATGCATACTTTTTTCCGGCCAGTCATGAGAGGCCTTCCCA